AAGCCCAATTTATACCTCGGGCATTTCTTTGAAAGCCCGAGTAAAGAGCTTTCTTCGATGCATCCGGCTCGATCTACGAGTCTTCTGAAAAATCGAAATGTTGGCGTTGCACATAAGCGTTTTTGTTTACTTTAATACATCAGAAAAAAAGGGCTTGACTTGGCGTTAATTGTATAATTTTACTTCAGCTTGCATCTTTCCTTGATTCTTTTAATACATGAATAATCCGAAGATAAAACTATGTGCGAGTGTGCGCATGCACAGTGGTTCCACAAGTGCTAGAAAAATTATCCCACATGGAACATCAGTATTTCATATCCTCATATTAAATATCAAATTTCGATATGGTTCAAACGATTGCGTCCATTCCATTGTTTAATCACGTGACTACATTAAAACTGTAATAACTACAAATATTTGACCATTGCAGTCAAACTTAAACAGACATACATTGCCGGACATTGCTTACACACGGATGCCAATCATGTGACATATGACGTCATCAATCACGTGACCACATAAAAACTGTAATAACTCTACAAATATTCGGCCAATGTCAGACATACAATGCCGGGCATTGCTTACACACAGTGCCAATCATGTGAGATATGACGTCACCAGTCACTCGATCATATAAAAACTGTTATAACTTTACAAATATTTGACCACTGTCAGACAGACATTGCCGGACAAGCTCTCAAAGCTTGTATGGGCTTCCTGTGATGCCGTTTGGTCTTTTAAAAAAAACAGTAGCCACATGCAGGCTTTGCTTGCGTATTCTTTTTGAAGAAGCCCAAAAAAACAGACACAGGGAGCCCGGCTTTGGGATTTGTACATGAATAAATAAATCAATAAAGTGCTTTGGGTTTCCTGTGTTGAGATTTGAAACGAGACGCTGATACGTTGAATTTCCGGTAATCGTATTACCAGAACTTGATAGCAGATTAACGTAACGCATCAGTGTAACGCACGCCCTAGTAAATGGTAACAAGTTACTGGTAATACGATTACCGGAAATTCAACGTATCAGCGTCTTGTTTCAAATCTCAACACAGGAAACCCAAAGCACTTTATTGATTTATTTATTCATGTACAAATCCCAAAGCCGGGCTCCCTGAGTCTCAGAGCGTCTAGTTTTTATCTTATTTTTATTCAAGTAACATCATGTGACCCAAAAATAGCCCATTGATTGGCTGGTTTACTCATGAGTGATGAGTATGAGAAATGGACGTGTAGATCTTCTACCCAACGTTTGAACCTCTTATTCTCTTATTCTCCTTCAGYCGTCTTTATCAGACGCTGCACATGGGCAAGGAGCACCTGATCATCTACTACTAGTATCGATAATGTCAAAGAACGGGCATTTCTTGATGTAACTGAATCGCCGTTTATCAATAAAACATCATTGTGTGTTCAAAATATGGCTCTTACTATGATCCAGCTAGCTGACGATGATTCAGTCTATGAACGTACTAGAACTGGAAGAATATGGTAAGTCAATCATAGCCAGTGCAGAAGTTCTTGGCGGTCAACCTATTATTTGTTTTTCGAAGAGAAAGGAAAAAGAAAGCGTGAGAAAAGGGACAGAGGAACAGATTTGAGAATGAGATATGATACCAATATATAAGTAGTATTTAATTTATGATTTTGCTTAATAGTAGAAACAACGTGAATTTGAAAAGTACTAAAAAGACAAAAAATAAGAAAATAAAACCTTTTTTTAAACCACCACAAAATGACAAGTTGCAAAATAAAGTTGCTAAATCGCTAGGTTTTATTTCATAAGGTTAATATGAGCTTTTGGAATCTATTTGKTTTTTTTCATTTCAGCTTATAGTACATGTGCTCTATATATAGGTAGTTTCATCTTTTGGCTGGGTGCCCAGCCTTGCTCAGTCCGATTAACGTTGAGTTATTAAAGAAAATCAAAAACAGTCATAGTCAAATCTACCACCCGCAATATAACTGTATGTGTGTAGATCTTAAATTTTCTGTTTTCTTTTCGTCAAAAGAAATTGATATTAATTTTTTTTTAAAAAGTCGTTCGAGGAAAGACGCTTTTATATTACCAGGCACATGGTCCGCAGGTGGTTTGCGTCACGGGTCAACACGTCGGTCAAGTTGTCAGACTGAAAGTTTCGTCAAACTATGGGGTTTTTTAGGTGCAATAGTTAAAAAATTTTCTTTTGTAATTAACTTATATGAGACACCATTCTAAATACGCTCTGAAACTTGCATCTAAAGTTTCTCTTCTAAGAAGATAACATTTGTAGTTAGTGACTTAAGAGGCTGTCTCTGTAAGAACCTCATAACCATTTTGGGTGAAAAAACAGACTTCTTTCAAACTTTGTGTGTGAGTGTGCCCTTCCAAGGTTATTTCCAAAACACATTTTGTTTTGTGTGTCAGCGCTTTTTTGCAAAGTTTCAGGGGGGGTCCCCTTTGGGGCCAAATTAGTGATTTTGACTACTTCTCATTCATGAAATTTGGGCGATGTTTAAAAATTCGTAATTCCATAACAAATCATCACAACACTAAATCCTTCCATATTATAGTAGACATATATCTTATGCAAAGATGAGTGCCTTTAAGTTAAATATGAACTTACTTATATCTAGATATTTTAATTTTACCGACCATCGATAATCGACTTTGGCCAGTTGGCTAAAATATGGCTTAGGAAAAAAA